TCTGAAAGGGTCTCTACTGCTCTGTTCGCCGTTACGTCGCATCTTGCGACTTCTGCCAGCACTGAAAGAAGCCTATGACTCCCCCTGCCGGTCTTCTTCAACCTATTGATGTTCCAGCCGAGCCATTTTAACGATTGGGGTTGGACTTGCTTCGTCCCTTTCCTACTTCTACAACTGGAAATGAATTGCAGTGGTCACAGACTATGCCACTTGGTATGCAATCACTCGAGCGCTACCAACCAGCAGCGCAACCGACGTTACCGACTTCCTGCTGTACGACATTATTCTCTAGCATGGCGCTCCGTCTCACCTGCTCACAGACCGTGGTCACTACTTTCTATCTCGTGTGGTTGATGATCTACTCCGATCTTGTGCTACCCCTCACAACTTCACCACATCTTACCACCCTCAGACTAACGGCCTTACGGAGAGCCTAAACCGCACATTTACAAACATGCTTTCCATGTACATGTCTACCGACCACACTGATTAGGACATAGCTCTTTCGTTTGTAACCTTCTTCTATAACTCGTCGCGTCATGAAACAGCGGGCTACTCCCTTTTCTTCTACTCTTCGGACGTCATCCCTTACTGCCCTTCGACTCACTGCTTTCATCAGACCACCAATCCTCCACTTCGTATGCTCAGGATGCGATCACCTGTGCCCTCAGGGCACGCGTGGTAGCGCGCGCTTGGTTATCATCGTCGCATACAGCGCAGAAGCCCCTTTATGACCGTTGACATAGAGATGCCGTTTTTTCTGCGGGATCTCTTGTTCTTCTGTGGCTCCCATCTCGACGTGTTGGCCTCTGCGAGAAACTACTATTGCGATACGCTGGGCTCTACCGAGTCATTCGTCAGGCCACACCTGTGACCTACGAGATTGCCGCTACCACAAACTGATCAGCTGCTGCACCCAGAACGGAAGTAGTCCACGTTTCTCGTCTCAAGTCCTACAACGCCACTTATTTAACAGGCACGGAGACGGTGCTTTACGGGCCGGGGTGATGATAAGTGTATGGAACTGTCGCCCCGACACAGCTGAATTGGCACCCAAATGAAGAAGACGACAACGTGGTTGTTGTGGGTTGGACTCTCGAGTTTCTCCCGTTGGCCTGCATGACTGTGCGCTCTTTAAGGCATTAGCAAAACTAACTCTCGGTGAATAAATCTTCCCCGTAACAATATCAACGATATTGTCAATGTTGTAACGCCTACAGTACAAATTAGAGTATTTGCTGATGATTGTGTTTTGTTTCGTGATATTTACTCTGTTCGTGATCAAAACGAACTTAACACAAATCTTTCCAATATAGCTCAGTGGTGTAATGAATGGCGAATGACTCTCGACGTAGACAAAAGTGTCTGTATGGGTCTGACACGTAAAAAAAAATCCGCTAGACTATATCTACCAACTAGGGTCGTGAACCCTGGGAGAGCTCACAAGCTATAAATACTTGGACTATATCTACCAACTAGGGCCATCAACCCTGAGAGAGCTCACTAGCTATAAATACTTGGGCTTGACCACAACTAACAATTTATCTTGGAACGTTCGCATAGACATCGTATGTTCAGCTGCCCTCCGAAAACTCAGCTATTTAAGACATAAACTGCGTAACTGCCCTCCAAATGTAAAACTTCTTAGTTATTTTTATTTTGAAAGGCCTAAGTTAGAATACGCCAGCACAGCATGGGATCCTTACACTAAGTTTAATATTGATATAATTGAGCGGGTTCAAAGGAAAGCAGTTCGTTTTATATACAACAAATACTTACCATCTGATTCAGCCTCTGCACAAATGAATGTAAATGGCATTCAGCCACTTGCTTCGCACAGACTTTATGTGTTCTTTCTTTTTACGGTGAGTGTCTGATTGGAACAACTTATGTGATCTCTATTCATTGTGAATTAAGTAGACTGAATTGCAATATGTATGGTGCTTATTATTCCTGTTTTTTTATTTGATGTACCATTCCTGCTTGGAGCAATTATGATTCACATAAATAAATAAATAAATAAATAAATAAATAACTGACTAACGTGTAACGTGGCAACGGAAAGCACAAGACCAGGTTGATTGGCAGATCAAGGGAGACGTTTTTACCCTCTGTGGCAGTGGGCGTCGTAAGGCTGATGATGATATCTCCTCAGAATTTTCTTTCGATTTCATCTCTGGCATATTTTATTTCGAAGCTTAGAACGAAGCCGGCCAAGACAAATGTCATCAAAGTTTTCGTATTTTTCCGCTCTTCACTCCTTTTACAGGAAACGTGCTATCTTGTATTATCTATGTAGTTTTCATTTCGATGTTTAACTGCTTGTCCTAACTTTAGCGAGAGAGCTTGAGAAGACAAATTGCTTTTCACAGACAACGTTCAGTTCACAACCTGACAGCGTTCCACCCGTTCAGCACCGAACCCGGTTAAACTGACTGCCACCGGAATCACGTTCAGAAAATACTGATAACATAGACATCAGCTCTAAGCCCAGTTTTGTTTGAGTGTGCTGCAAGTTTGTTGAAAATTGTCCATTTCGCCCCTAAAAAGGAAGGTTTGAAGAAAACCTATTTTGTCACAACTGATATGAGCTTTTTTGCCACTGCCTCGCCTTGGCCGCTAGTCTCCTTAAGTTGCTACATATGTAAATATTTGAAATCATTGCCAAGCAGCACTGAAATTTCTCAAAAAAAATCCTCAGCTGTGGAGGCGCAAGCTACCATACGGCCCAAATTTTTGGCTCTTTATTAGCTAAAGCTAATAAACTTCCACACTAAGGTCTTCTATGACCAACAAGTCTACACTTGACAAGCTGTTACAGATCACTCGCGGCGATAATCAAGATAATTATCTTCTCCAGCCGCCCTTCCTATTCCATGCATCTAAATCGTAAGTTCGGTACAACTTTTGAAGCCGAACCTGCTGTTCCCAGTTGTTACGTTTGGCCAAGCTGGGCTCCTCGAATATACAGAAAATACATCACTCGACGAAAGAATAATAAGTGATAATTTTCGAAAAGGGGAGAAATGAAGTAATGCGTGCACGACCTTGCCTGGTTTTCTTTTTTATATACCCCTTTGCGAAAGGTGAGGAAGACACAACCTCTTCGCCATCATCACTAAAGCATGACAGCCCCTATGATGGATGGATGGATGGATGGATGGATATGGCTGTACCCTTTAGATCGGGCGGTGGCTAGCGCCACCAAGCCGTAACACCTAATGAACCAAAAACTATATTTATTATTTTTCCCTTAAAAAGTGAGTTTGAGGATTCGTACTTTGCAGTGAAGAGTTTAATTTTCACTCGTGTCTTGACTTTAGCCACCAATCAGATAACCTCCTTCTGGTTAAGTCTACCCGCTTAAAGTTTATTTTGCCCTTTCGGTCCCTAAACCCCAGTGCTTTGAAAAACTCTGCGCCATCATCCTGAACTATAGGGTGAAGCCCTCTACAGAACATTATCAAGTGTTCGGCAGTTTCTTCTTCCTCTCCACACGCACTGCATACTGTGTCTACCCCTTCGTATTTGGCCCGATATGTCTTGGTTCGCAGTACTCCCGTCCTGGCCTCAAACAGTAGAGAACTACCCCGAGTATTATCATAGATCCTTTCCTTGGCAATTTTCTGCTTAAAAGTTCGATAGATCTCTAGTGCGGACTTCTTAATCATGCCCATTCTCCACATGTCAGTCTCTGTTTCCTTCACTTTCTTCTTAACCGATAGCTCTTTTTAGTTTGGCCACCTGCTGTTTTCTAAGTACTTACCAGTCAACTTCCTGGTTCGCTTCCTCCATTTTGTATCGACATTCTTCATGTACAAGTAGCTGAAAACCTTCCTAGCCCAACGCTCTTCCCCCATTTCTCTCAATCGTTTCTCAAATTTTATCTTGCTGCTAGCTTCCCTGCCCTCAAATGATGTCCATCCCACATCACCTTGTACTCCCTGATTTGGTGTATTCCCGTGAGCTCCTAAACCAAGCCTACCTATTCCACGTTGCTTAATTTCTAATCTTGCTTGAACTTCTGATCTCATGCACAAGACCGCATTGCTGAACGTCAGCCCAGGAACCATGACCCCTTTCCATATTCCTCTCACAACATCATACCTATTGTAATTCCACAGTGCCCTATTTTTCATGACTGCTGCATTCCTGTTACCTTTAGTCGTCACGTATATTTCGTGTTCCCTCAGATACTCGGTCCCATTGCTTATCCATACGCCCAGATATTTGTATTTATCTGTTATCTCTAGCGTGACCTCCTGTATTCTAAGCTCACTACCTTCGTTGTCATTGAAAATCATGACTGCTGATTTTTCCTTACTGAATCTAAAATCTAACCTATCTCCCTCATTACCGGAGATGTCCATCAATCTCTGCAAATCTTCCTTGTTGTTGTTGATGATGCCAAAAATCTAGAGCGACCTCTGGCGCCGTATTAAAGCATGTTTATAAGGCGATTACAAGCGCAGTGTCAGAAAGAGGCATAGTGATTATGATACCGCCGCGAATATATCGCAGATTTTTCAGCATGCTGGAGGAAAATCGCATTTCAGATTTAAGTTGTTCAGCAGTGATTCAGTCAAGGTTCTGCGGAGATTAGGACGCCCATGTTGTGCCGACAGGATTGCAGCAAAAGTTATTCTCAGATTCACAAATGCAATGCAACAATCGAACAGCACTCACACTATTACATGGAAAAGCTAGAACATCTTCGAATGTTTTTTGGTATATGTTTGGCTATTTAAGCTAAAGAAATAATGTTGTGAATATTCTTGCATTCATTCTGACTGATTTGTATGTGTCTTGCTTGTATCATTAGGTTGCACTTGCACTGAAGGTTTAGTAGTCACGAGAGTGTCTATTCTGCATGCGCTCATTTGTGGCAACGTCAATGAATATTGTTTGAATGATATTTTGGTGACAATTGCGCTGTAAAATTTAGTCGCAACTCATATGCAACCACACTGATCGAATGATTACGTGAAAATTTTACATACCAGATAGAATGGGTGTCCTGTTCTATCTTCTCCAAGTACGCACTCTTCGCATGTGATGTGCATTGACAAGAATATGTGATTCCTTTGCCAAATTTTAAATTTATAAGTTTTTGCTGGAAATAAAAAAATATTGCCACAAATATGTGTAAGAATCATGTTCAGAAACTCCTTTTTGAATTCATAAATTTATTTCAAGATTTATTGTAAGAGTTTTGTACTTTTTACAGCCGTTTATATTAAACCTTTTGTTTCTAAAAAAAGCATGTATTCTGTACTATAATTAAATAACGCAAACTGTGTTCTCTTCATGTTGTGCCGTAGTTCAATTGTATTCGGTGATTCCAGCGACGCAAGCGGCGCCATGTAGCCGTGCTCAGCAGCTGTCACTCGGTTATAAAGCTGCGACGCAGTTTGGTCTCTGAGTAGTCATGAACGAATGAACGCGTCTTTTCGCTCTGCGACCCTGGCGAAAACTTTCGCGACATCATCTCATCCACCATTTTGACCTTTCTGTGCACCACCTATAGACGCTGGGATGATCTAGTAATCGTTCTGTATTCGAAGGCTAAAATGATGAACGTATTTGATACAAGCTCGAGCGTTTTATGAGCTCACTACGTGCTGGACGGTGTTCTCTCGCACCTCTTGCTGGTGTTCCTCCAAGAGACAGTGACGCATTTTCACGAACACCGGAGGCGTCCGCCAAAGACGCGGAACGCGTCCTTCAGAGGAGCCACGCGCACCCAACAGCGGGCGGTGCCTTCCACCTCGAGCATCTCGGCGACTATAAAAAGCCGGTGCATCTAGCGTTGAAGGCTTCTTCATCCTTGTTCTGTACATAGGTTGTAAGTATAAACGCTTTGTTTTCTTCTGGATACCTTTTTGCTTGCCACTGTCTCAATGCTCTCTTCCCGGTGTTGACCCTCGCGACACGGTACGCCAGAGACCGTGGGGCCTCTCTGTAACAAAGTATATATGATTCTTAGAAACAATGCTTGAAAATTTTGGTGGAAAACTTCTTCAAACGGATTTTTTTATTATGTGTACCAGTCATGAAGCTGTATATGTTGGATCAATGGTTTACAACAGAATTTCTTCCACACATGCGATGGGCCCAACACATCACCAGCTTTGTGCTCTACGACTTATAAAATGTTATAGCGTACTTTTTATCCCATTGTGGTGGTCTAGTGGCTAAGGCACCCGTCTCCTGACCCGCAGGTTGCGGCATCCAATCCCGGCTGTGGCGGCTGCGTTTGCGATGAAGGAGGAAATGTTGTAGGCCCGGGTGCTCAGATTTGGGTGCACGTTTAAGAACCCCAGCAGGTCTAAATTTCCGGAGCCCTCCACTACGGCGTATGTCGTAATCATATGATGGTTTTAGGACGTTAAACCCCACATATAAATCAGTCATCAATCAATCGTTAGCGCACTTATCCTAGGGGTTGAAGGATGCAGGATCGAAATAATTAGAATAAAAAAGAAGCTTGGTTCGATAATTATAACGCCTTCCTACACAACATCCTGGGCCCCCCTCACCCTCACTCTCTCCTTTATGTTTGACCACGTTATTATTGTTTCTTAGAGAACAACATTTTGAAAAGAATTGACTATCGGCAACGTCCCACTTTCTTAGCACACACAAAAGCTCAGCTTGCGGGCTGAAGTGAACTTTCTTTGAAAACTGGACCAGTACTTTCTCAGAACTTAGTGAGTTTTTGAAAATTGTCTGGCCACCTTAAGTTCTATGGTGGAGTTAAGTGCACTATATACATGATGTCGCCAATAGTCACAAAATAGAAAATGCACTCAGAGCATGCCAAAAAGACAAGCGACGAGATAAGCTTGGACATCCCACGCATGGTGGCCACAGAGAAGAATTTCACAATGACACTGAACCTCAAACCACGAATCATTTAGACAAAAAAAACACAATCAATAAATCATCTGGCACACTAAACAAATTGTACTCCCAGAATTTGCATCATGCTCTCAAGGTTACTTCAACTCATTTTACTCAGCCGTCATCCCATTGTAAAAAACAATTCGTTCGGATCCCGAAACGACAATTGTTTTGTTTGACATTGTTCGGTGACCTGTTTTACTAAAAGCGAAGCGTGTCTTGGCAAACTTCGGTGACTTTGAGAGTATCTTTATCAATCTATCTATCTATCTATCTATCTATCTATCTATCTATCTATCTATCTATCTATCTAGTGGCCTACGACTTTTAGCTCTCTTCGCCGTTTCAATATTGGTGTCGATACCAAACTTGGTATGGCATAGCATGACTGTATGAAAAAAATATTTGACTACTCATAATATGAAAATCATGACATGTATGTAACGAATGTCTTAATTAACAATTCATGGTCCTGCATTCTTGCGGTGGTTTTGTTCACATGGAGTGTTGCAAATCTGGTATGGAACGTTATGATTTCATGGCGAACACAAGCGACAGACCCTGACATAAAAGTCATGACATGCGTGTCATGTAACAACATGACTCTATGCCGCGCTAATCAATGCTCGTGGCCGTTTCGCTATTGTCATTTATACCAAATTTGGTAATATGGTACGTAAATGGATGACGAAGGTATGTGACTGGTGCAAACATAATAATCATGAGACGCGTGCCATGTAACAACATGACTACATGCCGCACTCATGATCCGCTGGCAGCTGTTTTGCTAGCTTTACTTATACCAAACTTGGTATCACAGGACGTGAATGGATGGCGAAGGTATGATAGTGATGCAAACATGATAAACACGAGATGCATGTCATGTAACAACATGACTACGTGCTATGCTTATGAAGCGCTCACGGCTGTTTCGCTAGCTTCCAATATTTCAAACTCGGTATTATACGACGCGAATGGACGACATAGGTAAATGACACATCCAAAAATGATAATCACGACATGCGTGTCATGTAAAAATTTAACTACATGCCACATTTATAATACGCTCACGGCCGTTTCGTTAGCTTCACGTATGCCGAATTGGACAGAACGTGACGCCAATAGATGACGAAGGTAAGTGACTGGTGCAAACATGTTAATAATGAGATGCGTGAAGGGTGAGAACATTGCTACATGCCACAGTCAAGGCACCGATACATTTCGACGGGACACGGTGTGCGTGCTCGCCGGCGTTGCCACGCGACGCACCGGTCCTGCCATATACTCGCAGGCGCGCGCCGTGCGGCGTTGCTTTGACGCATGCACGTTTCAGCGCATCCAGTGTCCGGCCGTAGCGAAAAGATGCAGATGCAGTGCTGTCTGGGTAAAATAGAGGGTATGAAATTCGGCATGTTGCATTTCGTGCCAGTTGGCGTCGGGCTGCGCTGACGGACGCTGGTCGCGCCGGTCGCGCTTGGCATCAGACTATAGAGTTCCCACGTTTTGCTAACGTATTGCGTCGCTGTGCCCAGCATGTGCGCACGTCGACGTCACGTTCGAGTATATTGGGCCCTTCATGATGTACTCGCGGCCGTTTCGCTCGCTGAAAATACACCAAATTTGGTGTTACGTGACGTCAATGGATCTTGAAGGTATACTACTGGTGCAACCATGATAATCATGACACCCGTGCCACGTAGGAACATCACAGCACACCACGTTGATAGAGTGCTCGTGGCTACTTCGCTTGGTTCACATTCGGCGTCACCTGATGTGGATGAATGAAGAAGGCAAACGACACATCTAAGCATGATAATCATGACAGGGAAGTTATGTAAGGTATATTTTACCTCCACCTAGTAACGTTGTGATGATTTTAAAGTGGCACAGTAACCTTGCTCTTTCGTGGTTCGCACATCATCGTTTCCTACAGTACGTTGGATCTACCGTTTTTTAAAAAGAAATGTACCTGTTTACGAGCAAAGAATACAACTTGTTTTAGGGTCGAAGCTCGTTATGCCATGGGTCATGCGTCCGCGGTGTATATAACAGATGTCGTCGTAGTAGTAGGTAGCCAACTCTTGTTTGTTCCTTGAAATGTCCGCTAGATGGCGGTACGTCTATATGATGAATATATGATGAAAAGATTCAAGATTGCAAAACTTCGAGTATTCACTAGATGGACTGAAGGACGCATGAACCAACAGAGAGACAAGCAGAGAGCCTGATGCACACACGGACGTGATGGGCGGTCTTATCTTACATGCGTATAGCTAATCCACCAATCAGCGCAAAATCATTTATGGCGATCTTTTCATGAAAACAAAGGCTATTTGAGCAAACGGTCTACTTTTGATTTTGGGTGACTTTCGTGCGTATCATATGACGTGGGGTTACAAATTGACGCAGGGTAAGGGCTGAAACTTGTCAAACGAAAGTCAACAACAAGAACTCATCCTTACAAGGAACCAAATGAAGGCAACGAGGAAAGAAAATAGCGTACCTCGAGACAGGACGCTAGATCTTAGTGCCACCTCCGCCATGTGGTGCAGTACTGGAGAAGGCCTAGGTAGTGATCACAGAGTTTTAGGCATTATAGTTGACAATGTCCTGCCGGTGATCACTAAGACAAAAGTTAGAATTACCGATTGGGTTGCCTGTAGAAATAATACGTCGGAACAAGACCAGCTAAATAATATTAACCATTGGTGTAATGGGGTGATTCAGTCGGCTCAACACACTACCGAAGAGATTGAGGCTTACGGTGAGGAGGTTGTTGATGGACATCTTGTAAGCATGTGAAAGAAAAACAAAGACGTGGAGGGGAATATCTTTCAGAAAAGAGGAGACAGGAATCGGGAATAAAGTTTCGCTGTTCATTCGCTACACGATGTCCGTGTGTACTGAAAATGGCGTCATTCTGTGCTCCTTCACCGCATTGTATCCTACTTGTTCTTGTTGTTTTTGTGCTGGGACATTGAATTAAACCCCGGTGCATCAGACGCAATCCTGCAGAAACTATTTAGTGGTTGTCAGGAGAGAAAAGAGCTTACCGCCATTGAGCAGTCACATCCTGAATCTAAATCAACAATGGCTAGCCTTACTGCTTGCATAACGAACCGGGAATCAGTTATTGTTAAGATAGATGAAATAAAGGGGGAAGTTTTACAGAAAAAGACATGTGAAAGTCAGGATATGAGAATACACTCT